ATTTGAGCAGAGCAGAGCAGGGCCCAGTAGGTCAGAGCCGAGCTCAACAGAGCAGAGCAGCTTTAAAGAACGGGGCCTAACTAGCATTAGTGGAGGTTTAATCCGTGCTCGTGACCAAGTAGAGGAATCACGCTTGGGGTTCTTTATCTCCCATTGTTCTTGCTTGATCGCACGTGGAATCACGCTTCAAAGGTACAATTATATGTTCTTTATGTGTTATGCATTAGATCTTGGGATTAGGTACTGTATGAATTTGATTCATGTTTATTCCGCAATTAGTACTTATAATCTCCTAGAGTATTAACTTTAAGATATTCTTGATTGGTACTACATAAGTACATATTACTTATTATTGGGATAGCCGAATTTTATTATAATAATCATACTTATATACTACATTAGGACTCTATAATATTAAATCAAGTCATTTCCTTGTCAATCATCCTGACAGACTAATTTTAGGTAGGGTTGTTCATCGGTCCAAGACCGGACCGGACCGACCCGGATCGGATCGAAGACCGGAAATTAGAATTTTAAGAACCGAAGACTGGACCGATTAAGTTAGGACTAAACCCGGACCGGACCGAAAGAATCGGTCCAAAACCCAGACCGGACCGCTTTGGACCGATTTTCGAATTTTTTTTAAAAGAATACTAAATTTTTTACAAAGTTTAGGAAAACACAAAAAAATATTGGAAAAACTATGTTGTAACGTCATTTTTACGTCTTTTTTTGTATGTTAAGTGCGAAAAAGCTTATAAATTTAAAGTTTTCTAAGCTTATTAAGGATAATTTTAACCATTATTTAAGGTTTCACACATATTTTTAATAAAAAAAACCGGTCTGGTCCAAAACCGATTTTTATAGGGTTTTAGACCGGACCGGACCAAAGACCCGAAAAATGAATTTCAAGACCCGAAAACCGGACCGATTAATACGGTCCGGGGTGGTCCAGTCCATTTTTTTTGGTCCGGACCGATTTATGAACACCCCTAATTTTAGGTACGCCAAAATTAATTTGGTAAATCTAGAAGTGAAATTTATGTATATTCTAGGGGTTGTGAGTTTATTTTGTTGCAAAAAATATGACTAATAATTGAAGTTGCGAGAATTCTTGTGTATATGAATTCTGATAATTATCCTTCGATTAAAGGCAAACATATCTTTAGCATTTTATTTTTGGACTAAAAAGTAGTCGTTTAGGATCGCCTAGTTGTATTATGTGATAAGTACTACGTACATTCAAGTGTATATATGTTTTCGTGTATCCCTCCATTAATTCATGAAAAAGGCTAGTTAAAGTTAAACAAGGATTGTAATGTAACAGGTAATGTTCTGGCCGAGAAGTTAATTCCGCCATTTAAATTCAGGCTTTCTACTAATGCAGATGAGATCTCGTTAGATAGAGAGACAATAAATCTAGCCAGGAGTTCTAAAAATAGATGTGATTATCCTAAATAACCTTAGACTTCTGTATTTTGTAAAATAAACAAAAATTGAACCACTTCATTTTAGGTACGCCCACATATTACTTAGGTATACCTAAAACAAAAAACATTGTATACATCGAACGTGATTTTTATTTGAATTAACTAAGTCTTATATTTGTCAATCGTTCTAATTGACTAATAACATTCAAATTTTACATACGCCCAAAATGAAATTAAGGATATCTAAAAGCGAAATTCTGATTATAATGATCTAATTTACAAATTAGATTTTTTTTTAAAAAAAAAAATCTTAGTTAGACATTAATTTCAACATTTTTTTAGTGTTATTAACGACATAATATACCAAATTACCAACTAATAAATCCCCCCCCCCCCATTTTAATTTGACTGTACATCACAACCAATGATAGTAACTTTTTTAATTATTTTTAATTTAATAGATTAATCATATTATTTTTAATTTAAATAAATTAACATTATCATAATCCTCCCTTACTTTTCCTAAAAATAAAAAAATCTGGTGTTTTAAATAATTTTCTTTTTTGTTTCAAATAAAAATAATAATAATAATTTTCTAGTTTTTTAAATAAAAAAATTTAATGGGTAATATACTTATTAAAGGAAAAGATGAAAAGTTATTGGGATATTCCACCTTAATTCACGCATCATCAAGGTTTCAATTTTATTGGGATTCTTGTTGGAATTTTTGTTTTAGAAAAGGATCTTGCGTGTTAACGAACGTCCCCGTTGCATTGGATAAGCATTTAAAATATCACCTAAAGTGGTATTAATTTGGGAATGCATGACAAAATCACACGTTGATCGGTGTAATTAATGTTTATTTTCATTTAATCTTTGTACTTTTAGCTAGCTTATCCAACACCCCGGATGTTCGTTAGCATTTTCCTTTAGAAAAACGGTAAAATAAAAAAAAATAAAAAAAATAATAAAAAAAAAATCTTATTAACTTAAATACGATCAGTGATTAATTTTAGGGGAAGATGGAAAGATTTTAAGATATTCTTATGTCACTAAACAATGTTTAGAATTTTTTATATATACCCAGTTGTATGGTACACCCGGGTAATTTGCTCATTAATTTTTGCTCATTTAATAAATGAGCAAAAATATTCTGCTCACTTATTGTTAGAATTTATTAAACATAGTTATTAATAATTAAACGTAGTTAGAATTTATTATGTAAAAATATAAATTTGAATATACCAATACATTTAATTAAGTTTTTTTTTGAACAAATTTAATTAATTATTTCAATGTATACAAAATAGTAAATAAATAAATAAATAATTCCATGTATAAATAATATACGTTAAATAATTTTAAAATATAAAGAAAATAACCATTTGGAAATATTTTTTTAAAAATCTTATTTTAATAAAAATATCATGACCTTATCTAAGGCAAAGATGGTGGAGAATTGAACACTAAAAGATATTCTCTTATCACGCATTTCCAATTTTTTTTTATATTTTTTTTTTTTTAATTTTTTTGGAGGAAATAACTGCTAATTCTTGATTTTCATCAATGGGGGCTTAGACATAAAACATGTAATTGATGTCATATTATAATTTATATTGACTAAAATTTTTTTTAGATATTATTGTAATGATTGTCATTTTTTTTATTACTAATTTCACATATATTGATGATGATGAATCTAAGTTTGACATTGATGATAAAGGTTAAGGTTCGCAATGGAGATTTTTTTTTAATAATCCTTGATAAGGGTTGAGTTGAACATTATTAATGATGAAAATTGAAGATGAAACTAATTACGTGTAAATAATTTATTTTTTAATCCTTAATTATTTAACCAAACAACGATTTAATGAATTTTTAAATTATAATTGTTAGATTTTTTGGAAAATGAATGTTTTCTGGTTGATGATGAAGGTTTTAGGATGAAAATGACATAAAAAGTTAATAATGTGAAAGATGATTTAGGTTGAAGATGAAATATTTAAAATTTGCTATTTTTTTCCGATTTTAATGAAAAAAATAATATTCATACGTGTAAAAACAAAAAAAAATAAAAAATAAATAAATAAATAAAAGTAACCAAACAATCGTTGGATGATTGTGTAGCTTAGGTGTTGGATTGAATGACTAGGATTAGACAACTAATAAATCAACGGTTCAGATTTAATCCCTTAGCGTAGTCGTCTATAGTCGTTCGTAGTCTACGATTTTGCTAGAATTTTTATTAAGATGCAGAGTGAAATCAGTAAATTTTAATCGAGTTCCTCCATTAAAAATTTGATTTTAATAATATTCATCCTCAACCCGAACCAATACAAATAGTATATGATTTATTAAGCACAATTTCATCAAGATCGAGTTCCTCCATTGAAAATTGGACTCGGGACAGCTGTGTTAGGTGTGTGCGTCTTAGCATACCTTATAAACAGGTTACCCTGTGAGATTGAAAGTGCTAACCGTACTTGTTCAAGAGTCAAAATATTCCAAGTGACATAAAAGTCTACTATGTTTCTCATATAAAAGCAACCAACATGTTAGGTAAGACAATTTGTAATACAAAATAAAAATGGTGCGTTTTTAGTCCCAATCATGTAGTAGATCTAAATATCTAATCCTCAAACGTGCGATTATACTGCACAACTCTCCTACACGTTCTTCTGCACCAATTTAAAAATACAGCTTCAACAATCCCAGGCAATCTATGGAGATCAATACACAGATGAAACAACGATCAAATAAAACTAGTAAATGGTTTAACCTGGATACCACCCAAACGATTTGTTTTTAACCTAATCTTCCCCTGTTCATTCATGTAAAATTCATCATTATGTTCACTCTTAGTAGGTACCTTGTTAGAGATATGAGATATCGAAAAACAAAAAGACTTGCGTGGAATTGGTCCACAATAATATTATTGTGGATCCAAGGTCTATACACACGCAACTGACTTTATATTAAACATAGTGACCATTATTTTTAACATAGTAACCTTATTTTTAACCTATTACCCTAATTTTAACATAGTGACCTTTATTATTCATATTAATCAATATATAAAATATTTCATTACAAAAATAACCACTTACGCCTATATATTACCAAAATGATTTTTATTTCAATATAGTGACTTTTTTTTTAATTATAGTGACCATTTTTTTTATTAATAAAACAACCATACTTTCTCTAATGTTAGTGGTCCACAATAAATTAATGTGAACTAGGTCCATTTAAGAATTTGTAATCGGCAAATATATTATTCATCAATAGGTTGAGTATTTATACAAAAACTACGCTCATAGGATATGAAACAATCTTCCTAAAAGATATACTACCATAATCATAAATCCTAAATATATATTCTCTAAATAATATCTTAACATAAAATAAAGCTAAATATATTATTCTCTTAAATAATATATACGAAAAATATATCACACATACATTTTCCAATATTTCATATCTCAAACATACCTACATAAACAAGTCAAACTCTAATCAAACACTTTGAACAGAAAAAGTCAACTTCTCGGTAGGAAACGTTAATTTTTTTTATTTTTTTTTTTTTTTTTGGACAAAGGGAACTAACAAAATAAAAACTAACAAAATTTAGTCAATACTAAAATGGGCAAAACTATGGAGTTTAGTCCCAATCATGTAGTAGATCTAATCCTCAAACGTGCAATTATACTGTACAACTCTCCAACACGTTCTTTTGCACCATTTTACATATAAAAAAAATGTCTACTTCGATTAAACTCCCTCAATAAATCTGTTTTTTTGTTTTGTTTGTCAACACTTATTCTTCCTAGCAACCAAAAATGGCTGCTCTCACAACTCTCCTCTTTGTGCTTCTCCCCCTCGTCTTCCTCATCGCTACCCTCACTACCTCCGCCGATGAAACAGCCAAACCCATCGTGGAGGACGACGAGAATGAGGACTTGAGTTTCCTAGAAGTACCTAAGGCACCTAGAAACCACCCTTACTATGCTGACCCAAAGTATAAGCCCCAGGGGGATGATGAAATTGACCTCGACGACTTCCAAGCACTTTCTCCTCCTGTTTTCGACGACAAAGACGTGGTGGTGCTAAACAAGACCAACTTTGATGAGCTCATCAACATGACCATGTATGTGATGGTTGAGTTTTATGCACCGTGGTGTGGATATTGTAAGCAGCTTGCGCCGGAATATGCAGCGGCCGCTACCGAGCTGAAGAAGGGAGGTTCGGATGCCGTGCTTGCTAAGGTTGATGCTATTCAAGAGACCGAGTTAGCTGATAAGTATAATGTTGATGGATTTCCTACTCTTTATTTATTTGTTGATGGTGTATATAAGTCATATGAGGGTGAAAGGACCAGGTGAGTTTCTTTTATAGTTTTTCGGTTTTTTTTTTTTTAAATGGTTGATTGATTGGAAACTTAGCCCAATTGAATTCACTATATTTAAAGGGAGTCCCAATTAATATCTGGGATAAACAAAATTTTGTTTATTATATGGTATTTTGGTACATAAATCAACTTTTTAATCCAGTCATCATCACTTTCAGACCTATTTTTATTGAAAAAATTGTTGATTTATTTATAAAATTGTCATGTGATAAACAAAAATTTTGCAAAACTACAATTATTATTTGCAATTATTTGTTTTTACTCCCTCCGTGTTTTTTTTAAGTGTTACACTTCCCATTTCCAGCCGTGTATTTTAACTGTTACACTTTTTTTTGGCAAAAAGCTACATTAAAATATTATATCTCTCTCATTTCATGATCCCCACCCAAACCCACTACTACTTTTTTATTATATTTTTCCTCTCACATTCATTACTTTTTAATAAACTATTAACCCTACTATCTTTCTTTTACAATTTTTTAATACTCCAACTACCTCATTTACCTCTCTTTTTATTTAAGTCAATTAAATTGCCTAAAATTATGTGCCGGTCAAACTGTAATACTTAAAAAAAACACGGATGGAGTAATAAAGAAATCATAGGGAGATGGAGAATAACTACATAAATAGCCTCATTTTGAATAAATGGGTAATTACTTAAATTATATTGCAATTATTCTTACTTTTTGTTCAAGCATATTATGATTTGAAATCAAACCTTTTTTTTTTTTTTTTTTTTACAATGTCTCTTTTTTTTTTTTGAATTTTAATTTTCAAAAATTATACATAGTAATTGTAGATATTTAAATCTTTAAAAAAAATGTAGATATTTAAAGATTGATTGTGTCCATATTTTGATGTGAAAAATGAACCGATCATATTGTTTTATCATTCAAATACTATGTTAATCATATTTCAAACAACTACTATAAAAATGTTTCATTTATTATAGATGATTTTTAATCATTTTAATCAGTTTTCAAATATTAATCAAGCACTAGGGTTTTTTGTTTTTTTAAATGAACATTAAAACTAGTTTTATTCATTCAATAAATTGAAATACGGGACTGAGGGAGAGTTTTATTATTTGTTATTTTTATGGAGTTTTATTAGATTACTTTTGGATATGATCAGGAATAAAAATTCCCTCTAACTGAAATTACTTCAGAAATTAATATTTGTTGGATAATAAATAGTTAGCTAAACTTATTTTAAATAGTACAACACTAGATTAATCCCATGCGTTGCACGGTAATAGATTGTATTTGTTTAAAATAGTTGTTAATATTCTTTATTAAAAAAAGTGCACTTTTTTTGGTGAAGGATTCAAAAAAGTGTAATCATAATCTTATTTATTAATTTTGAAAGATATATTGTAATTTTTAGTTTTAGAAATTAGGAGAAAAAAAAATAGATAAAAAAAATGATGATGTCAAAAATACTTATGGTGGGAAATTTCATAAGAAATTGACAAGTGTCCTTTAATGATGTCAGCATGTTTTGTTTTAGTAATAGTTAATAGATAATTTACTAGTTATTAAGAAAGAAAGTCATTTTTCATGTATTTGACAGGGAGGGCATAGTTTCTTGGCTAAAGAAAAAGATAGGGTATGCAGTTAACAACGTGACAACAGTTGAAGAAGCAGAGGATATCTTGCTTGCTGAATCAAAGCTCGTCGTTGCGTATGTTGATAGCTTAACGGTACATTTTGAAAGCTTACACTCTTTGTTTGTTTCAGAGAATAAGGCTGATATATTTTGTACCAATTATTGGCAGGGCCTAAACAGCGAGGTTCTTAATGCTGCAGCCGAAGAAGAAGATGGTGTCAACTTCTACCAGACAACAAGTGCTGATGTAGCTGAAGTATTTCAAATTGACTCCAAGGTGAAACGCCCTGCCTTGGTTTTGTTGAAGAAGGAGGTTGAGAAGTTATCCCATTTTGGTATGTTTTATCATGTCACACTACACGCTAAACTCTGTTGTTAACAATAAACACTTAACCAAAAATCAATAATGGTAATGAATTAGCTTTTATTCACTTTAAATATTGTATGGTTTGTACCTATGACCATTATGTCACGCTGACTCTAATATCATGTTAGTGGACTAACTCAATAAAATAAATTTAAGCTGATGGTTGAAGCCTAAATATATATTTTATTCTATATCAATACTACGTGAATTCAAGTTCAATTTTTAATTTAGTGTCTACAAAAATGAGTTTTGCAATTGATGTTTACAGATGGTGATTTCGCAAAATCAGCTATTCTAGATTTTGTGTCCAAAAGTAAGCAGCCTCTAATAATCAATTTCAACATGGAAAGTGCTTCATTCGTATTTGAAAGCCCAATCCAGAATCAGGTGCTATAAATATAATTTCTCGTAAACATGTACATATTGTCTTTCTCTCTACTCAACTCCGAATTTTAGAATATTAAGACAATGGGTTGTTCTTGTCCAGTTATTCCTTTTCGCTCCTGCCCAACATTTAGAGAATCTCACCCGTACACTCGAGGAAGCAGCTAAATTGTTCAAGGGAAAGGTATGGACAATATAATGAAGTCTTCAGCTTGGTAGTGTTGCAATGATCACCCTTCAAGATTAAGGAAATTTTGCAAAAAAACCACCATTTATAAGCAATTTTTTGCAAGAAACCAGCTTATAATTTTTTTTTTTTTTTTTGTAATGACACACCTTAATCAATTTTTATTTATTTATTTTTTTTTTTAATAATGACACACCTTAATAAATTTTTTTTTGCAATGAGACACCTTTGGCCAGAAAAGAGGGTTTGACCCTATTTTTCGGTATAGACCACGTGCCAGACATGTGACCTGTTAAAACCACTCTCCAACTACGACAACCACCAGAACGACACGGAAACCGACTTAACCACCCATCAAAACCGCCTTACCCACCCCACCACCACCGAAACCACTCTATTTGGTAGCGTTTTGGTGGGTGGCATAGTTGGAGAGTGGCTTTAAGAGATCATGTGTCTTGCATGTGGTTGAGTCAATGCCTAGAAACAGGTCAGACCCTCTTTTCCGACCAAATGTGTGGCATTGCAAAAAAAATTGATTAAGGTGTGTCATTGAAAAAAAAAAAAAAAAATTAATTAAAAAAAAATTATAAGGTGGTTTCTTACATAAAACAACTCATAAAAAGATGGTTTTTTTTGCAAAATATCCTCAAATTAAACGCAGTTATTTTGAATATTTAACAACCGATAATTTATCAAAGCGAACAAAGAGTTAGTTTATCAAGTGTTTTTCTACATGTAATTCTCCCATAAAATCTTTTTTTTTTTCTCTGCTTGTTTTTTAGATCATTTTCTCGTATGTGCAAATGGACAATAAAGAATACGGACAGGCAATGATGGATTTCTTTGGGGTCGAAGGAGATGCTCCAAGAGTTAGTCCGTCGTATTCTAGTTTTTTTTTTTTTTTTTTTTTTTTTTTTTTTTTCTTTGTTCTCGAGTTTTACCTGAATTATGAAACAATGTGCCTAATTTTGCAACGTTTAGGTTCTTGCATACACTGGAAATGATGATCGTAGGAAGTTTTTTCTGGATGGGGATATTACATCTGACAGTGTTAAGGTAATAATAATTTTACTGATCTTGAAAACTCGATCATTTTTTCCACATCTAGTATATGTTGGCGTAACAAATTTACTTGTTCTCAATGTGTGCAGTTGTTTTCTGAGAACTTTTTGGCAGACAAGCTCGAGCCATTCTACAAATCCGATCCTATTCCAGAGAACGTGAGTTGCAGATCTTATTCTTCAGTGGCTTTCTGCTAAATGACATTGTGTAAATCTTTGAATTTTTAAAATTCTAATTATATTTTTTTCGGCTTTAGAATCATGGAGATGTGAAAATTGTTGTGGGAAAAAATTTCGATGAGATTGTTATGGATGAATCAAAGGATGTACTTCTTGAGGTGATAAATATTTATAACTTCGAATTCAGTTACTAATAACGAACAACTATAACCAAATGTATTGATGGTCGCTCCATTGTCTACAATATTGTCAGATATATGCTCCTTGGTGCTCTCATTGTAAAGCACTCGAGCCAACCTATACTAATCTTGCTGGACATTTGAAAGGAATTGAGTCGTTGGTTGTAGCAAAAATGGACGGCACTAAAAATGAGCATGCAAAAGCTAAGGTAAGTTTTGTTTAGTTGTAGGCGAAACTGTTCCATGTATTTTTGGTTTCAATTTGGTTGTTTTTCCTACGAGTCTTGTGACAATTGTAAGAGACAGTTGGAGTCTTTAAGTATATCCGATTCTTGTATATCTTCAGGCGCGGGGATTTCCCACCATTCTTTTCTACCCTGCTGGAAAGAAGAGCTTTGATCCGGTCAGTAACCTTTGTTTAACTTTTCTTTTTCTTAAGAATGCAAATCTATCTCAATTCTGTTAAAATGTTTGTTAAGGTGATTGCTATGGCTATTTGCAGATTATTTTTGACTCGAATCCAACTGGTGCGGAACTCTACAAGTTCACGAGAAAGCATGCTACAACTCCTTTCAAGATTCAAAAACCAATCTCTACATCATTTGAAGATGCTGAGCCTAACATTGCTGAGACTGTCCCAACTACAGATGCCGCTGTCGGTAACCAAGATGCAAAAGATGAACTATAAACATACTAGTTAGAGAATCTTTACAATGTATTAGGATCATATACCTTAAGTTCCACTTGATTATTTGGTCCACTTATCTTGGTTATCTTATTTATAGGAAACATTGATTAACCTAGGTACTTGAATGAGTCATAATTTTGCACCAGTAGTCCAATTAATAAAAATTTTTTTTGAAAAGTATAAACAAGTTCACTTTCAAGTAGAATGGATAAAATTTAGTGACAAAACAATAATAAATATAGGCTAAAAGATCATGTTTTAATCAACTTGATCAGTAGCAAATAAGATTCAAATTCGTGTTTTCAACTTGCTTAATAGAAAGAGGTACTTTCATCACCTGAACATTAAGCTTAATCCAAGCATAAACATTGGTTAAAAATTAAGGGGCATTTGGTATTAATACTGGAAATGGAGTTGAAAGATAACAAACAATTGGAAGAAAAGGAATTATTTAACACTTACCTTTCTATTCATTTAGTTCAACCATGGAAAGGAATCACATAAACATATTTCCTTTTCTTTTTGTTTGAGGATGGTAATTGTTACCTTAGGTTTTAGAGAGGTAACAAATAGTGAAAGTAATTGTTACCTAAACCTTCTTACCAAACACTTATTAATTGTAATGGTTTGGTTGAATCCATTCCATCCCAAAAGTCACTCTAATCTAACATGCTCCAAGTGTCATAATAGACATTACTTGACATCCCTTTTAGACATAGTACAGGTTCCAAGATAGATTAACAAGTTCATCCCAAAATTTCAAAAATAATAATTAATGCTAATACAAGGAATGCAATATAAAGACCTAAACCAGAAGGTATAGTAAATGCTTACATAATAGTGTAATAAACTGAAGAGCTTTATTGACAATTCAATTTGTTCCATTATGAAACAAAACTAATTTCGTAGAATTTCTAAACAATAAACAGTTGGGACAAAGTAACGCAAACAAATTACAAGAATTGCAGGTATAAGTTGAAATAATTATGTCCAAAAAAGTAGAAAAAAAAAAAAGAAAGAAAGAAAGAAATAAGATACATAAAAGGTTCCTAATTTGCAGGCTTGAAAAAACACGCAACGGAAAAACTTAAACGCTAGCCTCATCTAGCCTTGGTAACTCCATGGGTTCCTGCAGGGCATGGTTGATGGGGAATAGCTCACACTGCGCATATTGTGCCATCAACTGATCAACAAGCACTAGTGCTACCATTGCTTCCACCATTGGTACAGCTGCAACACAATTTTTAGAAAATTATGGAAGGAGTAAAAAAAAAATCTACTAACTTCAATTTTTTAACATTTTAAAAACGAAGTTTTAAATTTTAGGAAAATTGACAAGAGTAATCCCAACTTTACCCGACTCGTCCAAAATAATCCCAACTTTCGATTAATCCAAACTTTAACTTGAATTTGTTTCAAATGGTCCCAACAGGTCATCAACAATAATCGGTTTCTTATGCCACGTGGTGCTTTCTAATTGGCTTAAATTTATTAATTTTTTTCAAAAATATTATTATGATTATTAATTGGTTTAAATTTATTAATTTCTATGGTCGCCGGTGTCAGGAATCCAAGCCAATGCCGCCGAATTCATGGGACAAGAAAACTGAGTTTCAACCCAAATTTTCTGGTGAGACTAATGCTAGTGATTTTGGCCCAATTAGGTCTGTCCCCAAATCACGAGCCTCAGATTACGCTGTGATATTGAGTAGGGCCGGCCAGGTCATTATCGACAACAAATGGGCCTCCGGCGGTTCCTTCAGTTGCTACTCCGGCAAAGCGCAAATTTTAAGATGCACCATGGTGCACCTAGAAATAGATGCACCACGCCTATACTTTTGAACATTTTGTAAAAAACTCTGCACAATTGCAAATTTAATTGCAAATTTTGAACTAGTAAAAACATCTAAACATCGAAAATTTTGAACATTTAGTTAAAAAATCTAAACAATCGCAATGCATCACGCCTATACTTTTGAACATTTAGTAAAAAAAAAAATTGAACAATCGCGAATTTTGAACATTTAGTAAAAAAATCTGAAAATCGCAAATTTTGAACATTTAATAAGAAAATCTAAACAGTCGCAATGCACCACACCTATACTTTTGAACATTTAGTAAAAAAAATATGAACAACAACAAATTTTGAACATTTAGTTAAAAATCTGAATAATCGCAAATTTTGAATTATTATGAGTTAGGTCTGACTCGTAATAATTCAATAGGTTTGTAATATAAACTAAACATTTACTGTATACAAAATGAACATTTCCTTATAAAATATGAACACAAAAATTGCATGTTAATGTTTAGTTTTTGTGACGTGTTCATATTTTTTTTACTAAATGTTCATTTTTTTTTGTAGAATGTTCATTTGTTTTTTTCTAAATGTTCAAAAGTATAGACGTGGTGCACCTATTTGTAGGTGCACATATATTACTAATTGCTGGCAAGGGCTAGCAAGGGGTAGGGAAAAGGGGCAGCGCTGACGGGGGAGGGGGCTGGGTTGGGCGGAGATGGGGGAACGAATGTATTGTAGCCGGAAGGAGGGTGGTTGGTGGAAGAGGTTTATTTAATTAATTAATTACTTAGTAATAGTTATTATTATTTATGTAAATAATAATAATTATAATAATTCAAAGTTTGTGTAACCGGTCACCGGTCAAATGGGACTACTCAAAGTAAATTAGTGTTAAAATTCGGATTATTTAAAAATAATAGAAAGTTGGGATTATTTTGGGCTAATCAAGTAAAGTTGGGATTATTCCCGTCAATTTTTCCAAAATTTTTTAAAAAAAATTAATTAATTTTTAATTAATTTTGTTTGTAGAATTGCATTTCAAGGCATTGCATTGAAACCAATCAAATACAGGGGATATTTAGCACACTAGTTTATAGCACAAACATTAAATAAATAAAAATGGAAGCATACCTCGTGGGACAACACAAGGGTCATGCCGCCCTCGAGCAATAAGTTCTGTATCCTCTTTATTTCTTGTAACAGTATGTTGTTTCTTCTGCAAGACCATGACATAAACCACCAACTTTTCTTACATTCTTTTACACGCATTAGGTAAACATATAACCTTAATAACTAGGGAAAACAATCAGTGTAAATACAAAAACCGAGCAAAGAACATGAAAGGGAACTCACTGTAATTGTAGAGGTCGGCTTGAAACCTATTCTCATATAAATAGTTTCACCATTGGATATTCCACCCTGCTCATGGAAAAAATACAGCTTCAACAATCCCAGGCAATCTATGGAGTATCAATACACAGATGAAACAACGATCACGTAAAACTAGTAAATGGTTTAACCTGGATACCACCAGAACGATTTGTTTTTGTCCTAATCTTCCCCAGTTCATTCATGTAAAACTCATCATTGTGTTCACTCCCAGTCATAAAGGTACCTGCATAAAAACAATTCAAACTCTAATCAAACACTTGTAACAGAAAAAGTCAACTTCTCGGTAGGAAATGTTTACATCATCTACCTGCAAAACCACTGCCAAACTCAAAACCCTTTGTTGCGGGCAATGACAGAGCAGCTTTAGCCAGTTCAGCTTCAAGTTTGTCAAAAACTGGTGAGCCAAGTCCCTAGTATTATATTATTTATTTACAAATTTAAAGAGACATTTAGTCAGTACTAAAATGGGCAAAGCCTTAGAATTTTATAAAAGCTTCTATGAGGATAACAATGACTCATGGAACTAGTAACACAGGTAGAGCAAAGAGATCTTACACGTGGAGGATTTCTAACTATACAAGTGACAGCACCACCAACAGAATCTCCTTTAACTCGAACTGCATCTATAGCTGCAATCATTTTTTCTGCATATTCTGGATCAGGGCACCTGACAATATTACTCTCTATCTGAAAGTAATTGAGAAAGAGAAACCTTGTCATGAATAATAGAAATAGAATTCATAACTAATTCTGGAAATTTAACTAACACATGATCATACTTTCTGCAAGGAAAATAAGAAACATAGAGATTGTATATTTCAAGAGTAACATAATACACCTGAGAAACACACAAATAAAAATATTGTAGTAAATTGATGCAGCAGCTTCCAGTCACCAAACTTCAACTATATAAAGTAAAAGACCCTACATTTACACCCTTAAGCTAGAAGAAATATATAAACTCATTCAGCCACTTCCATATGAAATAGCATTGATTGGTTCAAGAAGAAGATATAAGAAAGTGCAATCTGGATTACAGAAGCTTGGTGTTCATATACTACTTTATGGCGTTTAAGTAACTTCCTGTAAACTAAATCCCCATGGGATAGACGTTGGTAGATATGGCCTTTAGAGGAATAGAGAGATCCACTGGCTGATTAAAGATGGATTCTTTCACTTGTTTCTCAAGCATACCTTCCTCCGGTAGGAATTGCATAAACCAAATATTTGTAACAATCTAAACTACCAGAACAATTGATTCAGTCTAGAGACCAAAAAAACCAAGATTTCGGCTATCCTCTTGCTTAATCACTTAATTGGCCAACAGCTAAATTTAAACAGAACTGAAGTATCAACTGACTTCTTACAAAGTGTTGCCTGTTTATTTGTTGCAAACGCCCAGTAATTTGGTCAAATTTCACCTCTATTATCTCGAATCTGCTACGTATTGGCTTATTCACTAGATCACCCAGATTTGGAAAACTGGGAATTGAAACTCAGTAAATATACTAATATCGGTCAATTTCCTCTTTGCTTGTTCCTTTAGTCTGATAAAAACTGGGATATTTAAAAACAATAATTCCTGAAAAGAATATTAGAACAGAACCAGTTTTTACCCATTCTCTATCCTATCACTCATAAAACCTTGGACATTCTACATCTTTGGTCATGGAAGTCAGTAATTTGTGGAAATTACACTCAAGCCAAATATCTGCTACGTCAATATATCCTTGCGAATGCCCATCCCTAAAATCTTTAACAGAAGTCCTTCAGCAAGAGAAATGGCCAAAAATCTAAAATTGGATCAATACTACAATTCTAGTCCCAAAGGTAATGCACATTTCTTGCCATTTGTTGCCCAGGTTCAGGTGTATAGCTTGACTTGGATTACTGGGGTTTTGACCTTTTACATTTAAAACAATCACAGCGTTTATGAATCATAATCTCAGACTTATAAGCTAGCAGGGATTTATCATTGCGAGCTGGCATTT